TCACCCCGCCTCTGCCCTTCACCCCGCCTCTGCCCTTCACCCCGCCTCTGCCCTTCACCCCGCCTCTGCCCTTCACCCTGCCTCTGCCTTAGAGCTGGGAGAGATCAGGAATGTCACCACGTCCCAGCCTTCCCTGGAGCTGGACGGTCTGGAGAAGTACACCAACTACAGCATCCAGGTGCTAGCCTTCACGCGCGCCGGGGATGGAGTACGCAGCGAGCAGATCTTCACGCGGACCAAGGAGGATGGTATGAGCACGTGGGGGGGGATTTGTCAGCTTTCGCATCCACGAATTTAGCAGTACTGCTTGTCGGAACACTCCAATAAGCAGATATAAAGGCAGTAAATGTTGTTAGTTTAAACCAAGACAGGGTCCCGCTCTTATACTTGAGGTACCTAACATGATTTTACCTGAAATTAATTTAATTAATTAACAAGCCAGCTGTACAAATGAGTAGAATTGGGAAAAAGAATCAGGTCTTCGATGAAATAATAATTTTAAAAAAACAATGCCGGAACAGCTAAAGTGTTGAGTATCTCTGGTCTATGTATGGTTACCGTGTCCCTGGCAACGGTCCTTGGATTCCTTGGAGGGTTTTTTTTCTCAAATTACAGAGTCTTGATTCCTCCCTTCTGTAATTTACTGGGTCTAATTTGCCATTCATTTATACCAGGGGTGGCCAATCATGCTGGTTTTTGGGATAACCTTTAGGCCAGCTGTTCAAATCCAGGTGTGAGGCCTCTTCATCCAATCAAATCTGCACACAGTGGACCTTTTTGGATAAGATTGGCCTCCCACGATTTATTCTGTTGTTACACTGAGCGCCGGTATGTCAGTAAGTCCCACTGTTTGGTTTTGTGTGAAGCACTTTGCACCAAATGTGTTGGGAAAGGGGATAAAAAAAAAAGAATTTTATTGAGTCAAATGTCGTTCATTGCTCGGGCATGTAGAGGTTACCGCTGAGAGTCCCCACCTGAGAGTCTCGTAACAGGAAGAGCTCTAAGGTGCTGTGTGGTGTGTCTCACGCGGGCTTTGACCCCCGCAGTCCCCGGACCTCCTGCCGGAGTGAAGGCTGCTGCGGCCGCCAACTCGGTGGTGTTCGTCTCCTGGCTGCCACCGCTCAAACTCAACGGCATCATCAGGAAGTACACTGTCTTCTGCTCGAACCCCTACCCGACGGTACGACCTGCATCTCGCCTGACACTGAATAGCAAGGAGGAAGCTCACATTTGCACATCTTTGCTGACCTTCCCCTGGATCTATAGGTTTGGGTCCTTCAGTTCAGATCTAACACTGATACTTTGATGTCTGACGCTACCAAGATCCCTATAGCCACAACTGAACCATGCAGAGCAGACATTTCATTTCACGTGACAGGTGTCCAGCTATCAAGAAGACAAGTATTGTGATCTAATTTGTGCCCCCTAAGGGTTCTCCCAAGCCCCTCCCCTGCCAAAAGCATTTCTGCAGCAGAAGTGATTCCTGCTTCCATTCCACCCGTTTCTCAGGTAATGAGCGAGTTTGAGGCCTCCCCAGATGTGTATTTCTACCGCATCCCCAATCTCAGCCGCAACCGTCAGTACAGCATCTGGGTCGTCGCCGTGACGGCCGCGGGTCGGGGGAACTCCAGCGACATCATCACCGTCGAGCCCCTGGCCAAAGGTACTGCACTTTGATGTCCTAGCAGAGAACGCTTTTAGTGACTGTGGTTATTTATAACACTATACCATATTGTATCAAGCCATTTACGGACACGCAAATAAAAATGTGAGCCCTAGTTTGCTTATCTGAAAATAGCATGACCTGAATTCTTGTCAGCGTTCCTATCCATCCCATTTAGTCATCCTCTTTCGATAGAGGAACCTCCCTTCCTCCCAATGTTACGTTTCCCGTAACGTTTATATAACGTTTATTATGATGGTGCTTGCTGTTCCCAGCCCCGGCCCGGATCTTGACATTCAGTGGCACAGTGACGACGCCATGGATGAGGGACATAGTCCTACCCTGCAAAGCCGTGGGAGACCCATCTCCAAGCATCAAGTGGCTGAAGGGGAGGTAAGACCGGTCGGGTGGATGGGGCCATCACTGCCAGTCATGCTGGGGCGGAACCAGCAATTGAAGCGTATATTATCTGACGTATAGGATTTCTGAGTCTGTCTAAATGGATTGATGTACTAATACAGAAAACTGCTGCTGGTCTGTTGTGATCTCTATCAGTATTACAGGGACTCAAAGTCTTTCAGAAACAATCTGTGGCTGTCAGTCTAGGAGTGTAATTTACTGTTTTTCAGCAATGGCACCCCTAGCCCAGTCCTGATCGATGGACGCCGCAGTGTCCATAGCAACGGCAGCTTCGTCATCCGTACTGTGAAAGCAGAGGATTCTGGGTACTACAGTTGTGTGGCTAGCAATAGTTGGGGGTCTGATGAAATCATGCTTCACCTGCAGGTTCAAGGTAAGCAGGATTTCGAGATTCTTTTATGGTACATAAATCCACTGTTAGCCGCACACCTTGAGCAAATCAATGTCTTCAAAGGACGAGATACGTGCTACTGAAGAAGCCAGAAGCTTTATCAATGGCTCACTGTTGGAGCAGGCATCGATATCTATCAATTTGCTTTCAGTTCCTCCCGACCAGCCACGTCTTACGGTAACCAAGACGACCACCACATCAATCACCCTGTCCTGGATACCAGGTGACAACGGAGGGAGCTCCATCAGAGGTGAGTGTGATTCGCCAGTTAATCAAAGGGTGACAGAAACTTGCCTGGATTCCCTTGTGAAGTGTCCACCTCAGAGCTTTCATTGAGGAGACTGGTGAACTGGGTCATTTTCCTTTCCTTTGTAAATGTTCCCTCAGAGGGGCATACTATGGGTAGGCAATATGGGAAAGGAACGTACTGCATTAAAAAATGTTTAGGGGATAGAATTAATACCCTTAGTCATGGGTATGTCTAGTCAGAGTGGGACCCAAGTGACGTTTATCATGGATTGCAACACCAGCATTATAAAAGAGGTGGTTAGGATAATTGGAAACTGGATTTTATATAAATTTGAATTTAATGATTTTTTTGTGATGCTGCGAGATGTTTGCTACCCTTAAGTTCTTTGAAGATTACATTTTACTCCCAGCATGGTGGGTAATTAGAGTGAATTTTCTCTTCCCAATACCACTCTAGTAGTTACTCATTTTTCAGTGCCAGAGTTTCACCTTGTGTGTGTTTCAATTATTTACTTGGTCAGCGGATTCCTATACTCTGCTGAAGTTCAGCTTGCTCTTTGAATGGTTTTCACAGAAGTATCCAAAGAGAGGTGGCCCATTCAGTGTGAAGTTCCTCTGCAATGGATTTCGTAGTCTCTCTGTTGCCTGGGAGATTAGCAGTCATCAGGGTAACTGACATACTCTCTTCCCCCCTGCCCCTGCGCACAGGGTACATCTTGCAGTACTCTGAGGACAACAGCGAGCAGTGGGGCAGCATTTCCATCAGTCCCAGCGAACGTTCCTACCGCCTGGAGAACCTCAAGTGTGGCACCTGGTACAAGTTCACCCTCACGGCACAGAACGGGGTTGGCCCTGGACGCATCAGCGAGATCATCGAGGCCAAGACCCACGGCAAAGGTACAGTGCCAGCTGTGTCATACATAATGTCCTTCAGAGTCATAAAATCAGAAGATAGACAGGCAGGCATGCATGCTAGTAAACGCTCACTGCTTCAGTTTTTGGGAGTTAAGCTCACTGGAGTAGAGAGGCGTCCCACCCAGGATGGTCCTGTATTGTGTTCTCCATATTTTCAGAGATAGGCTCTAAGCTCATTGTGATCCTTACTCAATAACTGGTATTGAATATGGATGGATGAATGGATGGATGGATGTTGTACCTCCCCCATCAGCATAAAGATATATGTGCTATCTGGAAAAATATGGTTTGGGTTTATTGACCTATAATCATGAACAGATGGGGTTTTTGCTATTCACATTGTCTGATATTCACAAAAGACTGAAAGTCATCAGTTTGCTTATTTTGATTTAGACTCTCTTTCAGAACCTGAATGTGTGTGAACGTACTGTTGATGTTTTTGTCTCTGATTGGTTCTTTGCTTATTTTTCACAGAACCTCAGTTCCCCAAAGAGCAAGAGCTCTTCGCCAGCATCAACTCCACCCGCGTCAGGCTGAACCTGATTGGCTGGAACAACGGCGGCTGCCCCATCACCTCCTTCACGCTCGAGTACCGACCCGTGGACTCCACCGTCTGGACGACGGCTCAGCGCACTTCCCTGACCAAGAGCTACATCCTATACGACCTGCAGGAGGCAACGTGGTACGAGTTGCAAATGAAGGTCTGCAACAGCGCAGGCTATGCTGAGAAGAGGGTGAAATTCGCCACCCTGAATGCCGATGGAAGTGAGTTCCCAATGTTACTATTATGCTACTCATGGGGTGGAAAACACTAGATCTTCAGTATGGTAAACAGACCCATGGGACACAAGAATGTTACAGGGGACTTTATTTGGCTCCCTCATAGCATGATCCGTTAGACAAACTCAACTACATAGTTTGCTCTCCTACTTATCAGTCCATTCATCTTCCACCCACTTATTCTGGACAGGGAACTTACTTCTGCATCTCTTAATTGATTACCCTTGAGTTTCACACGTGCAAATTTTCTTCATCTGATAGCGTAATTAACAGCAAAAGCCACCATAACATTTTGTCTCCTCAGATTAGAAAAATTTGAATTCTTCAAATGAATTTTCAAAAAGTTTCAACAGATAGCAACCATGGATAATAGACAGCCTGCAGGAATGTGATTCTTTTAAACCACTTATAATGTATTGGGTCACTGCCAGCAAATCACTCCAGGAAGTATAGAGCACAAGGCAGTGGAGCAATCTGAATGGGATACCAGTCCTTCACGTGGAAATCAGTCCAAATATCCATCCATCCATCCATCCATCCATCCATCCAACAACTAACATATATGGTAACACTTTGTACGAATGCCATGTCTATAAGAATCTATGAACATGTTCATAACACATTCATAATTCATTCATAAATCATTATAAACATGGCTATAAATATTTACAAAATGGCATATTTATTATGCATTATGAATGCTTTATGAAGTTCTCATCTATAATGCATTATACATACCTTCATAATGCAGTACAAAGCATCCTTAATTCTTATACCCAGCATTATAATGCATTATGAAGGTATGTATACTAGGTATGTACATTATACATGACCACTTCATTGGAGCTTATGAAGTTCAGTGGTACCTCGGAACTCGAACTTAATCCCTTCAGAACTCCGGATTGAATCCTAAAAAGTTCGAGATCTGATTGAATTTTCCCCATAAGAAATAATGGAAAACCAATGAATTGGTTCCCAGCCCCAAAAAATTACACCTAAATATGTTTTTTTTTAGCATTTAAACACAAAATGAACCGGATAAAACAAAAAGAGCATATACTGTACT